GAGAGAGTGAGTGTGTGTGTGTGTGTGTGAGTGAGAGAGAGAGTGAGAGAGAGAGAGTGAGAGTGTGTGTGAGAGAGAGAGAGTGAGAGTGTGTGTGTGTGTGAGAGAGAGAGAGAGTGAGAGTGAGTGTGTGTGTGTGTGAGTGAGAGAGAGAGAGAGTGAGAGTGTGTGTGTGTCTGTGTCTGTGTCTGTGTGTGTGTGTGCGTGTGTGCATGTGTGTGTGAGCTGATTGGTGATGAACAAACGTTAGTATTAAAAATTGAAATACAACCAAAGATTGCTCCTAATTCCACTGCAGATTTTTTTCAAACAATGTCAGGTTTCTGAGCTGTATGCTGGTATAATATTAAATATGAGGACACAGTGTGTAACGAGGTAAGGACGTTATGGTAGAAGATGCCACACAGTTTGCCATGCCTCTCAACGGTCCCTGTGTTAATAGTTTGACTGAACTGTTGTTTAAATGATGTGGTCAGTTTTGATGATAGAACAGGTTTAAAAAAAAAACGCAGTACATAACTGTGTTTGGGGACTCTTGTGAACATCTCCTGCAGTTGAAACAACGAGTTATGTAAGTATGTACACACATATATATATATGTATAGGAATTATTACTTTCCAAACATCAATATGGGCAGTATTATGGGCATGTATATATTTGTGTGTGTGTGTGTGTGTGTGTGTGTGTGTGTGTGTGTGTGTGTGTGTGTATCCTTTGGGGTTGTTCCGAAATAAACACTTCATTCTCTTTTCTGACAGGTATCGTTTATTTCTCTCCCTTGTCTCCATAGTAATGTGCTTTTATCTGACCAAGTCCGCGCTGCTGACCTGCTGTGTGCCCACCTTACTATTGGGCATGAGATATTACTACAGTAGGAAAGTTATCCTCAGCTATCTTGAGTGTGTACTACAAACCGACATGTCAGATATAGAGCAATATTACATGAAACCTGCAGGTGAGTTCTGCATTTTCAGAAACCTAGGGGAGGAAGCGTGGGAGGTTTTATTTTTCTGTTTTATTTCTTCTGTCATTTTAAAATCTTGTGAGTTAAAGGTATATTTTGCTGGAAGCTTTCAGTGATGATGTGGGGAAAACAACATTAGAACTGATGAATTTTGCTTCAGATATTGGTAAAACGATGCAATTTTGTTAGGTTAAATGTTCACCTTGGCTTTTATTTTTACATCGTGGTGCCTCACAATCACCAGAGCTTGAGTTTTTGTCGATTTTAAGAAAATAATCTTCCCTGACAAGCTGTCGGCGTTGGGGGGTGGGGGGTGGAGTTCCACTGAAATATTCAAACCTGAGATCGATAAATTGTTGCTGCATGGAGGTTCTGAGGGATGTGGAGCAAGGGCGAGTGAATCAGGTGAGGTTTAGATTGGATGGAGGTACGTGTTCAAGGGGCTGAATAGTCTCCTCATGTGATGTATCTGTGCAAACCCCAACCACAGTCCTCCTCCTGAACAGTTCCTTGTTATTACAAATGACAGTGAACAAGAAGGAAGGCTTAATCCCAGCTTCTTGCAGTCAAGAAGTAGAGAATGATGTATATATATGACCATAAAACCATAAGATATAGGAGCAGAATTAGGCCATTCAGTCGATTGATTCTACTCCACCATTCGATCATGGCTGATATGTTTCTCAACTCATTTCTCCTGCCTTTTCCCTGAAACCCATGATCCCCTTACTAATCAAGAACCTCTCTATCTCTGTCTTAAATACACTCAGCGACTTGGTCTCCACAGCCCTCTGTGGCAATGAGTTCCACGGATTCCCCACCCTCTGGCTGAAGAATTCCCCCTCATCTCAGTTCTAAAGGGTCATCCCTTCACTCTGAGGCTGTGCCCTCAGGTTCCAGTCTCACCTATTGAGTGGAAACGTCTTCTCCACGTTCACTCTATCCAGGCCTCTCAGTATTCTGTAAGTTTCAATGTAGAGGGAGAAAATAAATGAACTGGAGTGGATGGGGGGTGAGGGGGGAGGAATGGGACGGGTGAGGGATACAGCTGAGTTCCACATTTCAAGCCATCATTATATTTAAACAATAAACTGTTCAGGCCTTTTGAGCAAATCAAGCCTCATTGCTGCTGTTGTTACTGCTGATAGAGCCAGAAATATTGTCTTGTGAACCCCCAATTCTATCCTGCCAGCTTAGTAACAGCATTTTTACTAATTTCACTTGTCTATTACAAACAATTCAATGAGTGTAAGTTTGTCTTGTTAAGAAATGAATAGGCTGTTGACTTTTAAGAAGATCCCAAGCATTCCTTAATGCTGAGCTGCCTAAAATGTTGATCCTCATATAAGAATGTTGCCACTTGTTTTCAAATAGGAATTTCGGATACAGCAGAAATAGTGATTTTGTGTGTGTATTTTTCAGTTTAATAGTGTACTGAAATGTGAATTTACTTGTAACATTTCTTGGTTATTCCTGTGTCTGAAAAATGTACTACCACATCATTTTAAGTGAACAAATTAGGCACACAAACAGAAATTGCTGGAGAAACTCAGCAGGTCTGGCAACATCTGTGGAGAGATCTTAACTCTTTCTTTCTTCACAGATGCTGCCAAACCTGCTGATATTCTCCAGCAATTTCCGTTTTTATCCACAGTTCTTTGTTTTATTGTAGCAAATTGTAGGAATTTTGTGTTTTTTGTGATTTATCAATTAATTTAAGCAACTAAGAATGGACTATAAATGTAACGTCTATAATATCAAGATTAGCACTTGCTGTGGTCTTCCATCCTGTTTCCAGTCCCACATTCACAGTCCCTCTTTGCTACTAACCATCGATTGATGTGAAGTAGTGTATCTTCTTATTGGAAATGTTTACAGAAAATAATTTTAAAATAGTGCGTCAGCATCATTTTAAATGTATGCATTGGTGAAAATATTTCCAGACCCATTCAGCATCGCGCATGCATGCGCACACACACACATAAACACACATAGACAAAAACACACGCACGCACACACACACACACACAAACATAAATCTGCAAGAAAGAGTTAACACCTCAGCCTTTTTTTGCAGCTTGTTGCACAGTGCAGTAAGATGTCAGATTCATGTTCAAAGTTGTGCATATTAGGGATCTAAGAGAGCTGAAGTCTTGGCCATTAACGAGCATGGTCCACCCCTTGCTGGGTGTTTCTGTAGTAGTGGTTAAATATCATCTCCCAGTATTTGCTCTTGCTCTCTCGCAGATGCTGCAGGAGGTGTGCATGAGATGCGAGATGATAGTGAAAGATAGATCCAAGAAGCTATGTTAAACTTCTGTAAAATCTTGGTTAGGGCACATGTAAGAGCTTAACAGTGAACGTTTTTCAGCCAGGAGGAAATATATAATGGAGTTCCTTGGGGTTGAGTGTTCAGACCATACCTTCCTGATATACATATATTTATGAGGAATACGAGGAGGAAAGTGGTCACAGCATTCCGTTTCATAATTTTCTGATTACACAAACCTGGATGTCACTGTGAACAGTGAGGAATATTGTGATTAATCTCAAAAGGTCAGAGAGAGGTAGAGAGGTCTCTGGTGAAATTTAATGCAGATAAGTGAGAAATGATTCATTTTTGGTGGAATGAATGAGGAGAGGCAGTTAAAGGGGATAATCCCAGAGGAGAGACTTGGGGGAACATGTGAATGATTCATTCCAGGTGGCAGGACAGGTTGGGGATGTGGTTAATAACAAAATGTATGGGACACTGGGCTTATAATTAGGGCCATGGAGAACAAAAGCAAGGAATTATACATAACTGCTATAAAAATTGGTTTGGCCTCAACTGGAGGCCGATGGGATAACATTGGAAATGGAGTGGAAAATAGTCTAGGATTGAGAAAATTCGGCTATGAGGATAGGTTGGAGAATCCCCTTGGAGCAGAGAAGATTAGGAGGAACTTTAATTGAGGTTTTCCAAATAAGGAGAGGTCTGGACAAAATAGGTCACGAGAAACTGTTCTCATTGGTGGGAATGTCAAGAACCTGAGGACATTAATTTAAACTGATTGGCTAAGGAAAAATGTGTTTTTCTCATAGCGAGTGGTTAGGGACGGTCTGGAATGCTCTGACCGAAAGCCTGATAGAAGGACAATCAACTGGGGCTTTCAAAAAGGAATTGGCCAAATCATCTGAGTAGAAAAAAATGTTGGGTTATGAGGGAAAAGTCATTGGAGAGGATTATGTGAGTTGCTCTTGGAGATAGCTGGCATGGCCAAGGTGGGTGAAATGAATTCAATGACCCAGCTCCATTGCTCCTTACAGAAGAGAATTCCAAAGATTACAACACTGGGATGAAATTTCTGTCCCTATTCTTTATTCAGAAATTGTTGCCCCTTCTTCTAGATTCTTGCATGAGGGGCAAGACCTTGTTATTCATTCGGGGTTATGATTTATGCTCACTTGACCATTTATTGCCCATCCCTAGTTGCCCTTGAGAAGGTGGTGAGGAGCTGCGTTGAACCACTGCAATCCACATGTTAAGGTAAACCCACAATACCATGAAGGAGGAAATTCCGGGATTTTTACATGGCAACACTGAAGGAATGGCGATATATTTCCAAGTCTGGATCGTGAGTGGCTTGGAAGGGAACACGTAGGTGATGGTGTTCCCATGTAACTGCTGCCCTTGTCCTTCCAGATGAAAGTGGTCATGAGTTTGGAAGGTACTCTCTATAGACCCTTGGTGAATTTCTGTCATGCACCTTGTAGATGATGCTCACTGCTGTTACTGAGCATCGGTGCTGGAGGGAGTGGATGCTTGTGGATGTAGTGCCAATCAAGCAGACTGCTTTGTCCTGGATGGTGTCGAGCTTCCTGAGTGTTGTTGAACGCAAGCTTGATTAGACAAGTGGGTTGTGACAATGATTCACAAGGTGTTACCAGGACTGTATCTATCAGGAAAAAAAATAAACATTTTGGGGCTCTTTGTGGTGATTTATGACTTAAACAGTTCAAGGGCATATGCAAAGACGATGCTACCACTTATGAATGAGACCATAATCATCACCAATAAAAAGTTTAGGAAAAACCTCTTTGCTCAGAAATGGGTTAGAATCTTACTGCCATGTGGCAAGTAACATGATAATTGAGTATCATAGATGTTTCTAATCAACCGCTTCAGATGTGATATTACACACCTCTGGAGCAAAGCCAGTGGGAATTGAATCTTGTAGCTCAAAAGCAGGGACACTACCACTACAGCACAAGAGCCCCTAGAAGTGGTTGAGTGATGAAATTTTCCAATCAACCTGGTCAGAGATGTTAGTACATGCCTCTGGAGCAAGTGGGACTTTAAAAATTCACAGGATGTAGGCATCACTGGCCAGGCCAGTTTTTATTGTCTATCTTTAATTACCCAGAGGGAAGTTAAGAGCCGACCATATTCCTGTGGGTCTGGAGTCACATGTAGATATGAAGGGGGCCAGTTTCCTTCCCCTAATGTGAACCACATGGCTATTTCCTGACAGTTGACAATGATCATCACTAGACTCTCGATTCAAGATTTTCAATGGATTCAAATTCCACCATCTGGCCACGTTAGGATTTGAACCTTGTTTGCTGGATGATGAGTCCAAGTGACAGGACTACTAGGCTATTATGTCCTGAGTACCCTGGCCTCCTTGCACCAGAGATAGGGACATTACCAGTGCACCACAAGAGCCCTTTTAGTTGAGCAGCATAAGACGTACTTAATTGGAAGATGTCAGAAGTCACATGACAGCAGGTGTGAGTCCAAGAGGTTTATTTGAATCACAAGCTTTTGGAGCACTTCATCACCTGAAAGTTTGTGATTTCAAATAAACCTGTTGGACTATAACCTGGTGTCATGTGACTTCTGAATTTGCCCAACCCAGTCCAACGCCAGCACCTCCACATCTTAACTGGAAGATGGGTAACTAAAGGCACAGCTCAGTGAGATTCAGGTGGCAGGAGGCTTGTAGGAG